AGTGGTGGCAGGAGGGTGACTTTCTGGACCAACTGGGAAAAGATCAAAGTCTGGTAGGCATGCAGGGTCTCGTCTGAAAACTGGCAAGATACGTATTGCTGATTGAAGGCGAACTGTCCAGAGTCATGACTGTTTAGTTTAGAAAATGATCCTTGGATGAGACTGATGGGGCCGTCCCACACCTCAGCAGCATCGTTAGTATGGTACACTTTTATCCACAGCAGGAAGCTCCATTCCCAGCAGGCCTTTAAATGCAGGGGTCATGCTTATCACATTTGTTCTTCAAGAACAACCAGAAAAAGACCACCACTGAGAGCTTAGAGGACCCTGTCTAGACACAATTATAGTATCTTAGCTTAAAAACAGGCCACAGAGAAGGAAATACAACATAGGAGAAAGAGCATGGATTGTGGAGTCCAATAGTTCTGGGTTTTACTCCTGGTGCTGCCGGGTACTAGCTATGTACGTGACTTGGGGTCGGTTATTTAACCTGCTAAGCCTCGGTTTCCTTATCTGTATAATGGGGAAAATAATAGGACCTGCTCCACAGACTTGTAAGCATTCTATGAGAACCCGATAAAACACGAGAAACACATTAAGTGTTCCAGAAATAACAGATGTTACACCGCAGCCTAGGGGATCCAAAGTCACCGAAAACAGGAATTTTGAGTTCAAGTGCAACTCAACAGCGACAACTTCACTCCCCTGTGGCTGCAGTCCACGTCTCCCTCCCTTCCTTCAGATCCATTCCACATTCATGTCTATGGAATCAGACAATCCCATATCTCATCTCATTTCATCCGGAAAGGGAAAACTCAAATATCAGCCTTGGCATTTATTACCTGCCTGATCTTAGGCAAATACTCTTCAACTCTGTGCTTCAATTTATAAATTACCTGTGAGATGGAGGTAATAAAACTTCCCTCTCTACCCCACAGGGTTGTCGTGAGAGGTGAGTGACAGCATGTCGCCACCTGCAAAGCTCTACACAAAAATAAGTCCCCCTCCATCTCCTCTGTTGCACGTCTTGACAGGAGTTTGGAGCACAAAAAACACTCAGTCCTGGTAGCCTGTTGATATGGGGACTCAGAGGCTGGAAATGAATGGGCTGTGTTAACATCAGGCAGACCCATGAGCATTTCACAGGCCACAGAGACAGGCAGGCTGAGCGATCACTATTTGCAAATCCACACTAATTGGTCATTACAGAGAGAAATGTACCCGTCCACCGCGAATTTCCCACAGTTCGTTTTTAATCATGCCCCAATCCCTCATAAACTTCCTTTTCCTAGTACTCCGTTCTCCAGCGCTAACAGACATAACAAGGGGCCTGCAGGAGTATTTCTGAGCAATGCCATTTCCAACAGCTGTACAAAGCGACTTCTCAGAGTCGCATCGGGGGAGGCAGCCGTGTGTCTGCGGAGGGTACCGTCTGACACACTTCCTGATCGCATCTGCAGGACACAGCATGAGTCCAGTCCTCTCCTGTTCTTCCTCCTTCTCTAATGTCAGCTAATGGATGGTGCTTTAATGTGTTCTCTTCCTTGTGTATCTGTCATGGAAAGACACCTCTCCCCGGGCTGCTCTGGGGACTTCACACGGGCTGGTACAGATGGAGCTGCCTTATTTATGCCACCGCAGGATCACTGGTAGACAAATACCTGGCTGTCTGCCCATGCCCTGAGGCACAACAGGCCTCAGGAATGTGGTGAGGCCTGACAGTGATAAAGAAACCCCTTCCTAATGGCTTTATTACTCTTAGAATAATAGACCTAGCTCTGAGTTTATTGTGCATCACTCATTTAGCACACATTTTCATAGGCCAGGCATCACACCAGGCATTGGGGGTACAGGGGTGATGAAAACCAGACATGATCCTGGCCCTTGTGGAGGCTACTGTCTAGGGGAGAGACAGACATTTACCAGCTCATAACACAAAGGCATGAAAGAGTATACTCTGTGAGGAGTTTACTGAAGAAATGCACGTGATCCTATGAGAACATATAACAAAGGAACCCCTACGATGGAGGCAGGGAAAGTTTCCCTGAGTAAATGTAGTTTATGCAAAAGAACTTGGGATTAATTAGCAGTGGGGGAAGAGAAGGCAGGCTGGGGAACAGAGTTTAACAGATAGAAGAAATAACCTGGTAGGAGGGAAGGAGCAGAGGAAACATGAGATGGAGTGAGTAGGCAACGGTGCTGGGGGTGATGCAATATGAAGTAGGAAGGAGGCAGGAGCCAGAGCATGCAGGGAAATGCGACTCTGTTAAGGACTTTGGTCTCTATCTTAACGGCATGGGGACGTCACTGAAGGTTTTACGCAGAGGAAGTGGGGTGGCGTGGTTGGGTTTGCTTTTGGGAAAGCGGACCCATGCTACTGATGAAGAATAGATTTGGGCAAGGAGAAGGGAGCAGAACAGAAGGAAAGAGACGAGTCTGGAAAAAAAACTGCTGTTGTGCTGGGGAAAGATCACAAATGCTTAGACTAGGACGCTGGCAGGGGAGAACGACAAAAGCTGAGATGTGGAATGGGTAGATACACAGTGAGGGAAAGGGACTTATCAAAGACGAACTTGCTTCTGGATGAGCAACTAAGTAGACAGACAGTGATTCTACGAGGCAGGAGAGGCTCAGGTCGGGGGGAGTGGGTAGATCATGGTTTGGGGTTTGTTGCGTGGGACTATGTATAAATTATTACTACTGTTATCATTATTATTATGGAAAAATTATGTTTTATAAAATGCTTTCATACTCGTTGTCCGTACTGGATTCTGACCACAGCCTATGGGATATAGGACGGTGGAAGACAGGTGTTTAATTGGTAGGGAAATAAAATGCACGTGTTAGGGACCGTGCACGGCACAGCCAGTAGCAGAAGTCAGTATAGTGGACAGGACTCTGAAGATGATATCTTTTAGAACACATCAAATTGTATTTTTAAGCCATGGAGTCTTCAATTAAAATAGATAAAAATCCAGTACGTAAAATCATGACGAGCAGGTCTACTGGATTCCAGTGGGCATGAGAATCAGCAGCAGTCTTTCTCCCTGCCACCCCTATTTCCTCCAAGACCTCACGGAAGCCCTGGGGTTCCCTGGAGCAGATTATAGCCCCTGGTGCCTTACTCCTTCAACCTCCCGACTCTCCATGGATTTCATAACAGGCCATACAATCAGGAGCATTGTAACCCCATGCTGCCTTGGCTGCAAGGAGGAGTGGGCATTGAAGACCCTGCTGCATTTCAGGCATGGCCGGGCCTTCACTTGAGTTCTCGCATTTGATCCCTTCCTGGGCGGCTCGCACTGGCCCACATTTGACAGCTGAGAGCGCCAGGGCTCAGAACCCAAATCAGGTAGTTTCTTCAGTGGCAAGCCAGGATATGAACTGGGGGTTTGTGCAACCACTTTGTGATTTCTTAAAAAGTAGAGGGCACAGGCTCACCAGGGACACAGCACACGGCTGCCAAAAGAAAAGAGAATGACGAAAGAGGAGGCGGAAGCTTCCTTCTGTGCCAGATGCTGCCCCTCCCCTCCCGCTGCTTTTCCCCACAGTCTTGGTGCTGAGACCCTGGGAGACAGAGTGGCTTGCTTTCACCTTAATTAGCACAGCAATTTGCTAAATTTTGTTTTTCCATTTTTAAGAGTGTTAATCAATTTTAGCTCAGAAGAGATTAGAATGGCACACAAATTACCACAACAATCCCCAAATGCGAAATTCTGAACATCTCGATCAACCTCAGAGCCTGAAATATGGGAAAAATCAGAAACTCCGGCCGGCATCTCCGTGATCTATTTGACATGTTATGGCTCTGAAATGAAAAGCTAATGGCTTTATGAGGTTTGGGAGAAGCAATTTGCTAGAATCAGCCTCGCCTAGGTGTTTAGTCCTTTCCAAGGTGATTGGAGACAGCACATCAACGTGTATCTGCAAAGTTACATGTTCCTCTAATAACAGCAATTTGTTAAATCCACAAGCATTTCAGGGTACCAATGATGCTCCAGAAATACAGAAAAGAATAAGATGTGCCCCCTGCCCCTATTAAGAAGGTTCTACCCTAAAGCAGTAGACAGACAAGTGAATAAAAAATGTCTTACTCCTTCCTGGAGAAGCCAGGGAAGGTTTTCAGAGGAGGTGGCAATGCCGCTGAGTTCTGAAGGATGAGTAGGAGTTGTGACAAGGTAAGTGGATGGGCATGTCAGATAGAAGGAATCGCATAAGCAAACACTCAAACATAGAAGAGGGGGCAGAGAGAACCAGAGGTGCTTTCTTAGAGCTAAGAAAGAGGGTGAATTTGCAGGAAGGACAACAGATGAGACAGGAAGAAGAATCAAGAGCTGGAATATGTGGGACTTCTTAATCAGACTGTGAATCTCAATCTTGATGCAGGCAAAGTGGCATTATGAAGGATTTCAAGCACAGGAGTGACAGAACCAAATGGGTCTCATTTGGTAGAAACCCTCTAGCACACCATAATCCTTAATATTTATTCAGCATAGTCTTTTAAAGCACATTCACATATATTCTCTCATTTGAGTCTACTAATTACCCCATGAGGTTGGTATCATAATCACCTTTCCACTGATGAGAAAACAAACCTAGCAAAAGTATAGGTTACTTCCTTTGTGTCTTAAGACAAAAGACAAATTCAAACCTGGGCCCATCGGACTCTGAGTTCAGCATTTACCTCATTGGGTGACGGAATTCTCTAGACAACAGTACCATAGACCACTTTCAGATATGTACCAAGCTACTGGCCCCCAGCCTCTACAGAAAGCCTTGGTGGCCAGAGCTGCACAGACCAACGTGCATTCTGTGCTAAAGAAGTGTTCCCTTTAATGCTTTTGATAAAATCAGATTCAGGCGGCAAACAACCTCCATTATATCCTAGGCATTTCCACTTGGAGCTGAGATTGCTGTCATGGCTGCAGTCTACTGAACCATAAACAAGAAGAGCTTCCATCTTGAGGAGGCCAGGGGCTGCCTCTCTCTCCCGCCTGTACCTTGAGCTCATCTGCGTTGTAGAAGTCTACACGCACGGCGGGCACCATCCAGGTCCGGAAGAGCATCGCCAGGATCTGCTCTGCGATGGAGTCGGCAATGAGGTGGAGGTGCAGAGGGTTCCGCCTGCAGGAATGAGAAGCAGAAGAGTCAGGAGGGAGAATGAAGGCCTTCGAAGTCCAGCCACAAAAGCGCTCTTACCAATTCGTCACACGTGGCCAGTTCCTAACAGCAACTGTGCAAATAAGTCAGGTGTGTTACCAAACCGGGGCTTACTGGTGAGGATGTCAGAACAGAAAAGAAGAGAAGCATCTCCCCCAAAATCAGCATTTCAGAGGTGACAACCAAGGACCAGAGAGGGTAAAATCGTTCGTGACACAATTCAGGCCAACCACCACACGTCTGCCCTGGTGCTCCTTCATTCTGTAAGAGGTTGAGGAAAACCTCCTCCTCAGGCTACTGCGTTGATCAGATGACATAATACGTGCAATATATAATGCACGTCAATAATAAACATAGCTAGGATAATAATAAACTGCAGATATGCCTCCTTGAGGCACTGCCAGGCACAAAGCAATAGTTCAATCCAGAAGAACTGCTATCATAAATACTATTGTGCTAGTAAAAATAACAACACAAATTGTAATACCACGAATGAGCACCTTTGGGAAATCTAAAGAAGAAAATGACTTGGTCCCTCCGACCTCAAGGAGCTCATATTCTTTAGAGAGACAGGCGATCCACAATTAAATATATACGTGAGGTGGAACATGAGAATGTGAAAATAACAAGAGAACACAAAGTTCTATAGGAGTACAGAAAAAGGGCTAATTCCGACTGGGTCAGAAGGATGTGGACTAGTTGGGGCAGCAGTGCCCTAAAGGATAAATATGACTTTGACAGGAGCCAACGAAGAAGGGATGCAATCCAAGGAGGATCACAAGAGACTGTGGCCAGAGCCCAGGCTGTGCTGAGAGTGTGGTGGGGAGAGGAAGTAGTTAGCAGGGTCTCTAAGGCTAGAGCAGAGAAGGAGAGAGATGAGAGTGCACAGGAAGCAGTGCAACGAACGCCCAGTTAAACAGCCTGGACTTCATCAGCGAGGCGTGGGGGACCAACACGACCTGCCTCTGAGCTCTCAGCCTCCTGTGCTGTCACTCCCCAGCCCTGTCCTAAGTTCCAGACATACAGACCATCTCTCAGTTTCTCATGCCCCATGCTCTCTCTCCACCTGGGCCTTTGCATATTCGGTTTGCTCGGCAGGAAATCCTCTTGCACGTACTCACTCGACAAATACTTATTGAGTACCTACTACCTGCTAGGGGATGAGCAGGACGCTGGGGACATGGTGGTGAGGAAGACACACCACCCCTGCTCTCATGAATCTCATGGTCTTGCCCTTTCCTTCCTGCTCCCCGACCCTTCACACTCCCCATTCAACACCTGATCCTCTCTTTCCCAGCCTTCAGTTCTGAGGTGTGCCACCGTTTGCTCCTAGAGTCCTTCCTTCCGAGTCCTGCCCGTGACTCGGTCAGGGGCCCTTCCTAAAGGACAATCATCTCAGCACCATGTGCCCATCCTTACGTTGCCATCGCCTGTTTACTTGTCCACATCCCTACTTGACTGTGAGCTCAGGGAGGTCAGGGGTCATGCCAGTTATGTTCAGATGGATAGCCCCAGGATCTAGCTCAGTGCCTGGAAGGTAGTAGGAGTTCAAAAAATGAATTGAATGGATGGTGGGTGGTGGAGAGCGGACAGATAAGGGGAATAAAGGTGGACACATCATTTAGGAGACTAGCTCAGGTGAATGTGAAATGAGAATCTATTTAAGACACTGTCTGGGGAAGGGCAACAAAGAAGCTGAATCTAGAGGGATTTCAGGAGAAGAGATCTTAGGCACGGGAAAAATGAGAGGAAAAAGTAGATGGCACTACGGCTCCTAGTTTGGTGGTGATGTCTCCGGGACAGGGGACACAAGAACAAAGGCACATCGAAGAAAGATTGGGTACACCGAGTTTAGGGTGAGGGTGGCCAAGCCAGGTGGAGCTGGATGGATGAGTCTAGAAATGAAGGAAGTTATCATCCAAGGCCAACCTGCCATACACATAACAGGTGCTCAAGGCTGATAAACTGAATAAATGAGTTGAAGAAGCAATCAGCACTGCAGAATTTCTCCATGGGACCCACTGTCTGAACACTGCAAATTCTCCCATTAAACCATCTATACTCAGGGATAAGAGGCATGTCTGCCCTATAAGAAGCTTCTCGATAAGAAGCTGCCAGGAGGCCTGAGTGATGATTGGTGGCGTGAGGGGGTGATGGTATGTTTGTTTATCGGCCAGTGACTTGCCTGAGGGCTAAGTCAAAAGCAGCTAGTCAAAGTTGCTGGGAGACAGATGGTCCATTTAGCCCTCAGTGTTGGCTTAACCAGCCTCCTTCCCACAGGAGCCACAACGGAGTCTTACGTATCAAGAATGGATAAAGGTAAGCCTGTATAATAATCAACTTGCATTTTTATCCACAATAGAAGGACGCTATAATTTTAATAATTTTATTTATTTATTTTTTTCTCCCCAAAGCCCCAGTAGACAGTTGTATGTCATAGCTGCACATCCTTCCAGTTGCTGTATGTGGGACACGGCCTCAGCATGGCTGGACAAGCGGTGCGTCGGGTGCGCGCCTGGGATCCGAACCCGGGCCACCAGCAGCGGAGCGCGCGCACTTAACCGCTAAGCCACGGGGCCGGCCCAGGACGCTGTAATTTTAGACACGGAGTGACAACAGCAAACAGATCAGGCTCCTTATATGTGCTCCAACACATCATGCTTTCCACACATCTGCATCTTTGCTTGTGCTGTTCCCTCTCCACGGAATACTCTGCCCCTACTTGGAGGTCCCGTGAGCTCCTGTTCATCCTTCAAACCTCCCTTTGTAAGTCGTCTCCTCCTGGAAACCTTCTTTGAGCCCGCCCTCGTCCCTGTTCCTGCTAACTCGGCATCTCATATGAAAAGCGAATCGACCATTTACAGCATGCCGTTATGATACATATTCAAACACCTGACTCCTTGTCTCCAGGGTGAGGCCCCCGAGGACAGGAAGCATCTTTTCATCTCCATCCCCAGTGCCCAGCAAAAAGGCTGGTACATCACGGGTGCTGAACAAACACCTGTGCAACAGGACAAGAAAGCCACGCCCCTCCTCCTATGTCACCGTTAACATTACCATGAGAAGGGAAAAAGAGTCGATGGCACACTGTGCACCAATGGTTCAGAGTTGGGGCTCTGCTCCAGAACATCTGGCTTGGAACCCTGGCTGCATTAACTACTGAGTGACCGTAAGCAAGTCACTTCATCTCTCTAGGCCTCAATTTTTTCATCTTCAAAACAGGAACAATAACGGTAAGTAAGCAATGTTACATTGGGTAATCGTGAGGATTAAGTGATATAATACATATAAAGTGCTGAGTAAAGTGCCTGGTGTGTGGTAAGATTTCAATATATGTTAACTATTGGTGTGGTCTGTGTGTTTGTGCCCCCCACTCCCCCCAAATTCATATATTGAATCCTAACCCCTAAGGTGATGGTATCAGGAGGTGGGGCCTTTGGGAGGTGATAGGTCATGAGGGCAGAGTCCTCCTGAAAGGGCTTCATGCCCTCATAAAAGGGGCTCCAGAGAGACCCCCTCACTCCTCCCACCACATGAGGACATGGTGACAAGTAGGCAGTCTGCAACCAGCAAGCAGCCCCCACCAGAAGCAGACCATGCTGGTGCCGTGATCTTGGACGGCCAGCCTCCAGAACCATGAGAAATACATTTCTGTTGTTGATGAGCCACCCAGTCTGTGGTATCTTGTTATAGAAGTCCGAAATGACTACAACAACTATTATCAACATCTTATGAAACTGTTATTTTCTCTACTGCTTTTGCACCACTTTTCAAATACAGTATTTTCAATTAGTTCTTCCATCCAAAGACAAAAAAATGAGCTGAATGATCAACATCCAACCAAGAGCTATCAAGCAGCAAGTACATGTGAGCATTACAGGGATTAAGGCAATGAATGAGCTCAGAGTCCTCTCTTCAGGCAAATAACCATACAAACGTTAGAACGTGGGTGTGCCATAACACTGGGATGCCACACACAACTGCAAAGTTTGGGAATGGCATACCTCCCAGGGAGCCATTTGAATAGACTGACAAAGACAGTAAGTGAGGGGTACCCTTAAAGTTGGATGATGCACAGCCTGCACAACAGTACAGGATGGCTCTGCAACGAGGAGCACAAAAGCTACAGGGGTGTGAGGGTGGAAGAGACCACTTCTTGTTAGTGGAGAATCTAGAAGTTTCCACGGACCATGTGGCAATTAAACTGAACCTTTGGATGGGAAAAGATGGAGGATGGAAGAAGGCATTGTGCAGGATACAAGAGAATAAGGAATGAAACAGGTGGGAAAGTACACAGCATGTCTGTGAAAAAACAATAGTCTTATTTGGGTGGATCATATAACATTTACTGGACACCTACTGTATTTCAGGAGTAGGGAGGATAAAAAGAAAAAGAGAGAGAAAGTCAACGGCAGGTTGGCCAGAGTATGTGAATTCCTAAAAACTGTGAATTTCATTCTCTAAGAGAAAGAGAGCCAGACAAGGTTTGGAGGCTCGGCAGGCAGCAGATCAAAGTTGCAATTCAGAAGGTTAATCTGGTTACAAAGGAGAAGATGGACCAGCGTGGGTGAGAGAACAGGCTCTTCGAGGAGGATGTGGAAAGCATTCCTGTGAGGCATTCCCCCTGCTTGTGGTTCCTCTGGTCCATTTAAAGTCTCTCTCCAGGAGGAAGAGTAAATCCGGAAAGAATGCCAGCTCACCTTTAGGGCAAGACCAGGTGTTCGCATTGTCAAAGGGGTGAGTGTGCCTCATTTGCTTTCCTTACTAGAAGACTATGAAAATGCTTAATCAGAGGACACACAAGGGCCACCAGCCCAGGTGACCACTGAGTCCCTGACGGTTTGCTGACACTGTCGCAGCAATCAAATGCAGGCTAACCAGCAGTGGCTCGGGCATCATTCTCCTGAGACAGAATCCCCAGTGGGGTTCTGCTAATGCCATGCCTTCAGTACCATCACGAGAAC